CCACTTATATATCTAGTTAATTGCTCTAATAAGATACTGCGACTTTTCAGGAAAAAAGTGACAAAATATCACTTTTCACATTCTCATTTTTGCAAACCCCTTGAATGCATCAACTGAATCCAGGAGCAGCATCTCCAACCCACGAGCCATTGTTTCCACCATCTCTACAATCTTAATTGTAAACCTCACTACCTTTAAACACCTCAGACATAACAACATTTGAACAACAACAAGCATAAAGAAAATTTCAATTAATAGTATATAGTTTTCTTGATTTGTTTTTATATATTAGTAAGAAAAAGAAGAAATATAGAATTCTTAGGTCTTAGTTATTGGTTTTTGCTTACAAAAACATCAATCATTTCACCATACAAACATATAATACAATCAAAATATTAATTTAATTGCTTCATGGTTTCTTGGCTTCTGGACGTGTAATCTCATTCACTATACCGGTGTCAATCAAAACTCCAATCGCCTCCACTCCTGCCTGTGCCAACCCTCCAAAGCTGACCACCGTTGTGATCTCCTTCTCCGCCACCTCTATCCCCACTTCTACTCCCTTCTCTGCCGCTTCTATTCCTTTTTCTATAGCCACGATTACCTTCTCAGTCGTGTCAAATCCTTCCTTCACCAGCTCTAAAATGTATTAATCAAATTAATCAATATTTTAGGGAATGCTAGATGAAACATTATACCAAGATCCCACATAGCAATTTTTCCATTTTTGCAACAATGGCGTCCCCTTCTACAATAATGCCAGTGAGGTCTTAAAGCAGCAAGAGGACTGTAATTGCTGGTGGTGGGTGTAGGATAATCAGCTTCGTTGCTGGGCTTGGAAGGAGATTAGGGCTCATCGTTAGGGAACCCTGCTAGAGATTTAGGGCTCAAGGATTTTGGGATAGAGGATTTCAGGGTGAAGGATTTCGGTGTCGACGTTGGGGACAATGATTTAGGTGTAGGCACTGGCGAGGATCTTGGGAGTGCACAGTCGGGAGGTCTTACTTTCCTTCGACGATGGTGCAGCTTTCTGGGAAGATGATTTCGGTACAGGTGATGAAGATAGAGAGATGCTTGATAAGGCTTTTAGGTTTAGGAAAGTTTTGAGCGTATTACTTATGAGGTGAAAGTTTTAATTAGTTTTAGGAGTATTATTCTAATTAGTTACTTTTT